GCGGCCCCTAAATTGTGGAAATCCTTTGCAGTAGAACAGTATCTGGCACCTTCATTATACATCTTTTGGTGAATGCTAGACACACCTTTTCACCCTGGCTTTAGACTCTTGAGGTGAATATTTTTAGGACCTGCCTGTTTTTTTAATTCTAAGTTGTCTAAAACTGTTTTCAAAAGGTGTAATATCGTGTGTTCATATGCATGTTGTGTTTTAATTGTTGAAACCTGCCCTGGGACCCTAGAGTGAAGGATGGGTTATAAATTGTAGTAGTAATAATAATGCTAATAATTTGACAAATAAATTGTGCATGGCTTACTTGTAAATAAACGTGGATAGGATCAAACTTCAAAACATGCTGAAAGTATTTTATTTCCAGTGATTGCTTAGATTCTGGGGAAAATGACTGGTACTTCTGTATCAGATCAACCGTTTGTTTTAAAGTTTCATTAAAATGCAACTTTAAAAGGATTAAGCAAGTTTAATAAAAGAGACCCAAGTCACTGTGTTCTGACTCATCGAAGACAAGTGGAGGCCACTATCTTATGGAATTCCCTGCCAAAAAAAGAGACATCCGGCTTCATCAATTCAGCATTTTAAGAAAGTTTTAATATTTCATCTATTTTCCCTGGCTTGTAATTGAAGGTGTTATTGTATAGACTGCTGCCGGAGTTGTTTCTTAAATGGCACTCAAAAATGCTCACTCTTGTTTAATTGTATTTATTGTCTGACTTACTGCTTATATTTGACTTGCTGTTCTGTGATATGATTTTTCACATTCAGTACACTGCCCTGGTATCTCACGGATGAAGGGGACACATAGACACACCACACACACACACACACACACACACACACGTGTATTGGTTCAAGGCAGCGCCGGGTTTAGGTTTGATGTGGCCCTAAGCTAATGAAGGTAATGGGGCCCTTTATATGTCCAGCTGTCCTTTGTCAACAACAAATTGTCGCTGTTTCTTGTGTTGAATAAATGCTATATGGTAATTTATGGACCTAATAGGTATCTAAAGCCATTTGCACATGCAGAATGTAGGCACCCTATATATAGAAAGGAGCAAACCAGTGATATTTGAGGGAGCGGGCTAGCAGGCGGGGCCCATGACTTACATCATAGGAGCCTACACAAAACACTGTTGCTGTATATAGGTTTTATTTTATTTGTTTTTTTATCTTATATTTTGGAAATGTACACCCAGTTTTTTCCCTTTAATTTTTTGGGGGGCCCCCAAGAGAGTGTGGCCCTAAGCTATAGCTTGTTTAGCTTATATGTAAATCTGGCACTGGTTCAAGGTCCCAGGAGATTGAAGACCCATCATTTCTGCAGCAGGGTCTCAGCAGGGACTCTGTCCCCAGCATCTTAGAGCTGCCCAACCAGCGTGAAAGGAGAGTTTTTTTAGCCACAGAGGCCTTCTCCTCTCACTCATTGTGCTGGTTGGAGCCAATCAGAACGACAGAGGTGAGCCAGTCATTGAGGATCGGCTCCTAGGATCACTCTGGAGAAGGCACACGGGAAGAACACTGGGGGAGAGTTGTCCTGTATGCTCCAAAGCCAAGCATTTAGGAACACTGAAAACCCAAAGTCCTTCCGTTTCAAGAGAACGATGTGCAAGTTCTGTTACATGCAACGGAACTTCAAGGAAAACGCAACTTGAGTCGTGCCAAAAGAAGATATCGCAGCACTCCAAATCATTTGTCCATGTACGTGCACAGATAACAGTAGACGTAGCTTCAAGGGAACATACACTGAACATTGCAACACATCCCTAATCATTATAACGGCATAATTAGAAAATTATTGTGTGATCTTAGAGGGTTGTATAATCTCAGAAGGGGGCGTGGCTGCGACTGTCACAAAGGGATCCTGCACACATGCTATGAAGTGAGGCAGCCAGAGACATACCTTTTGCGAGGGGTCAACCTGTTGAGTCAAATTGTGAAGGTTGGCATGTGAAGTCCCTGTCCTACTGGAGCTGTGGAGCAACTCTGACCAAGAACTGGATTCAACTCTGTGGGTGCTGATGGATGGATGGATGGAGCTTGGACCCAGGGGAGCCATTCCCTTCTTTTGACCTCTTGGAGGGGTGGGTGTGGCTATGGCATCCAATATAAAGGCTGTTCAGCTGGTGAACGAGGAGAGCAAACTCCAGCTGAAGGTCCCATGGGTGGTAGGTGACATATCTGAGGAGGCTGGGCAAAGCCATCTTGATGGTCTTGGAGGTTAAGTTAGGCAAGGAGGTGCTGAATAATGTTGGGAAGGGGTTGCTCAGGAAACTGGGGAGACATGGCTGGGTGGGATCATTTGTACAAACACGAGTCGCAAGTTCCACCCATAGCCTAATAAGACTTGCAATTAGTGCTTAGTGGCCGAACCTACTGAAGCTCGATATGGGCTTGCCGTTCAGCCGTAGAAGAGATTAACGGGGACCGGCTTTTAATCTCATCTGGCATCCCCAGCAGATTAAGAACGGTTTGTTTCACTGTTGGGCTTGTGGATTTCTTGCTCAGCGTAATCTTAAGGAAGCAGCGGATTTATCCCAGGAAAGAACCTAGTAGGAGTCATAAGCCATGAATTACGGATATACATTTGAATTAGCGAGACGGGTGGGGGAGGATGAAGGAGAGGAGGGAGAGCAAAGGCGGAATGGCTTCTCATTTCTAAGGTACACTTATCAAGCACTAAACAAGGGGGAGGTTTGGGTGAATGCGTTCCTCATGGAGGCGCATGGGGGCGCAGAGCTGTGCTCACCACATCAGGGAAGCCGTTTGGAAAACTAAAGCCCGCTCTGAAATCTATGTTCACACATGTATATCAACTGCCCGATGAGAGAGGGTCAGAGGAGAATTTTGCTCCTTTGAATTTTCAAGTGATCTGACCTAACACACAGTTCCCAGACTTATTCGCAGATGACAATTACACCACACACTTTTCCAGATTTTGCAGAGCAGTTTGGCTTGACTGCAGAATGTGTTCAAAATGTGCATATTAGGGGAAAGTACATTAAAACATGTATGATTTAAATGCAATGTTTTGAGGCAGTTAAAAGCAACAACAACAACAACAAAAAACTCCATAGAAATTTGACCAGAATGGACATGATCAAACACTTGTGAAACTGACAAGGAAGGGGAATGAGCTGATCCGATGTTCACCCCTTCCTGAGGACCAGTACAGTGAATGGATGGCATTCATAGGTGAATGAGGTTTAGTCTATGCAAGCAGCAGACTTGGTGGAATCACTGTTGGGTTCTTAGACTATACCACCATCAACTGCAAGTGGGGGAAATTTAGCCTGACTAAATGCTTCTTCCCCTCTGTGAAGGAACTTCTTGAACGGCAACAAAAATCCTGCATGCAGATAGAGGAGGGGTGCAATCCAGTATTATGATCAGCAATCTCTCTAAAGAAATATAGCCCAGGAATAGTTTTGCTGCATGACTCGTTGCTTGCAAGGATGGGCAAACAATAGGTCAATTTCAGTTTCTCATTTTTCCAGTCTTAAACTCAGTTCTCCACTTTTCCACATCAGTTTGTGAATAATTCTTAAAGAAGTCCTTGTGAAAATTCGCCAGCATTCTAGTGCTTTTTTTTAATCCTACCATGCACTTTTAAATGTGCAATTTTGACTGAAATACACATTTTTGCAAGGATGCTTCCCCTAATACAATGCAATTTTGCACGTTGTTTTTACTAATATATGCATTCCTATGCAAACTTTACCCCAATATATGCATTTTTGGGCCCATTACTTGGCTGGAGAATGGTATTGCAAAATTCAGAGATGTGCAAATTTCGCAGGGCGGCTGTGTTTCAGGTCACCTGTGCTTCTCAAAACATACCTATGGTCACACATCTCCAAAAACATCTCCATTTATTTTGGATTCAGCTGCCAATTCTCAAGGGTTGGTTCACGTTAGCAAGGGAGTCCTTCAACATTTGATCTCTGGCAGCTGAATATGTGAATGGGATCCTTTGAAGAGCACGGTGCCTATGAGAGATCAGAAACCTCCTCTTAGCTGATTCTGTCTGTGATAGGCCATCCAGACATGGAAGCATCATACAAGGTGGCAATCATCAAGTGATGAGCTCATCAAATGATAGACCACCACCATCTTCTCAAACAACTGGTCCCCAAAGGGGATATTAGCCACCCACAGATAGTTGTATGACAAATCTGGGACAAGAGAGGTCCTCTTAAGGTTGCAATACGCCACCATCTCTTTCAGGGCAGATAGCATCTTCCCTTCCTCCAACAAGGGAGAAATCAGACCCTAGACCCACCCAGTCAACCCCCTTCAGCTAGCCCTAAGAGGCCAAGATAAGCAAGGGGCAAGGGGGCAGCTGGTCTACACACTTCTCTAGACAGCTTGGACACATTCTCAGGCTGCAGTAATTGAAACTGATCCAGTACAGATGGAAAGGGACGCGGGTGGCGCTGTGGTCTAAACCACCCGAGCCTCTTGGGCTTGCCGATCAGAAGGTCGGCGGTTTGGATCCCTGCTCCTGCCAACCTAGCAGTTTGAAAGCACGTCAAAGTGCAAGTAGATAAATAGGTACTGCTCAGGTGAGAAGGTAAACTGCGTTTCTGTGCGCTGCTCTGGTGCTATGTGTTTATTTGTAAGCTGCCATTAGTCCCATCAGGGAAAATGCAGGGTATAAACAAACAAACAAAAACAAACAAACAAACAAACAAACAAACAAACAGTATTTGCACCACCTGCACACACCCACACCCACACCCACACACCCACACACACAGTTAGTTAGTTAGTTATTTAGTTAATATACCACCCTTCAGGGCGGTTCACAACATAAAAATACAATAAAGGTGCCGACTGTCCTGTTTCATTGCTCACAGGTCAGCCAAGTGCCCAGGTGACTTCCATGCTCCACAGAGACAGCCAGCCCATTTAGGAACATAGAACTGCAGAGTTGGAAAGGCCCATGGGGGTCATCTAGTCCAACCCCCTGCAATGCAGGAAACTTTTGCCCAACGTGGGGCTTGAACCCACAACCCAGAGGTTAAGAGCCTTGTGCTCTACCAACTGAGTTATCCCATTGTCATTGTGACAAATGGCCCCATGCACCTCACATTTCACAGGGAGCAAGAGCCTCAACAGAACTGCCTGCCGTGTCAGTCAGCAAATCCCCACAGATCAGGGGAAACCCCTGCAGATCCGGGAGGTCCAAGTGGACCACAAGCATTGCTGTTTTTCTAGAAAAAGAGGGGCTGGGACTCACCATGAACACCTCCCTTGTTCTCTTATAATGGCAATGGCATCCACCTGAGAGGCGCCGGAATTGAGTTTTAGTGAGTTCCGGCTGAAAAAAAGCCCTGGCTGCAAGAGGACTTTGACATGGAACTGCCCATTGGACTGTCCTGCCCTAGAGAATTCAGAAATCCATCCGATTCTAGAAGTCTATGAGGATGGGCTCTGTCAATGGGTCCTCCAATATGAGGTTGCTGTGTTCAGACCAAGCCTTACCACAAGCGCTTAAACCCCATCCTGCCTTCCAGTACTGATTTCTTCTTCCCTGCTAACGTTCTGATTGGAAGCTCCCTGGGGCAGAGACTTACATTTTATTTATTTATTCCTTTGCAATTTGTTATTCTCGCCTCACACCCTCCATGCATATTGACGGTGCAGCATAACAGCAGCGAGAACAGTAATTAGAATAGCAACAACAACAATAATATCTTGTCTGTTTCCAGAAGCAACAAACATATGAATTTGGTGTTCGTGCCACCAATAAGGAATTAAACATTGGATCTGGCAAGGAACCTTCTACACCTTATGAGTTTCTGCGCTTCCTATCAGACGCTGATCACTCTTAAATTTTTGTGTGTGTCTGTGCGCCTCACTTGCACACTCTCCTTGAAGTACGTACACACACACACACACACACACACACACACACCATATTTAAGGCAAGTGTCATGTCTGCTTGTTTGGTAGCAGTGAATTTTCTCTGTGTTTATCCCCCAGAGGGGTTGTTTTGTGGCTTTATTGACTAAATAACGGTATTGATTTCTTAAGAGCTTTCCCACTTCCTTTCAATGGGAGATATCGTTTTGTCTCTCCCTCCTCATCTCTGGACACTGGGTGAGAAGTTCTTTTTAGTGACACCATAAATTTCCATCTCGGCTTTGTAAACAAGTGTTGTGCTGTCCACAGGGGTTAATTTGGTCATGTTAAATGTTCTGATGATTCCTCCTGGGCTTCGGGAGAGTAGACCGTGGCTCCCAAGAAAAAGCAGCTTGAAGAGAAGGCATCCTCCTCCTTTCACACTTTCTCTATGGTTACACCATGCACCCTGACATCATTCGTGCAACCTGCTGGTAATTAGCCAGGGAACCAGTTCCCCATCCTTTAGAGAGGAGGAAATTGATTCCCCACCTCCTGTTCCATTATTTTTTTTTTTGTCTTGGTGGTCCAGTCAGGATTGGGTTACCCTTCTCCTGGATTCTACATTCACATTGGTTTGTTTATTTAGGGACTGGATTTCCCTTTCCTCCATTCCTCCCAAAGGAGCCGAGGGGGAGGCAAACAATCAAGCAATTAAAAAGAAAATCAAAACAATTAAGAACCAAATGTCGGAAGATTCAGAACAGATCAAAGAAAACCCTTCTTTGCGCGGTTGAACTATGGAACTCTCTGCCACAGGAGGCAGTTACGGCCACCAACCTCAATGGCTCTAAAGGCAGATGAGACAAATTCATGGAGTGGTAGGCTATTGACGGCTGCTAGCCATTATGGCTGTGCTCTACCTCCACAGCAAATTGGGACGCGGGTGGCTCTGTGGTCTAAACCACTGAGCCGCTTGGGCTTGCCGATCAGAAGGTTGCCAGTTCAAATGCCAACGACGGGGTGAGCTCCCATCGCTCTGTCCCACCTTCTGCCAACCTACCAGTTTGAAAGCACAGCAGTGGAAGTAGATAAATAGGTACCGCTGCAGCAGGAAGGTAAACGGCGTTTCCGTGCGCTCTGGTTGCCTTCTGGAGCCAGCATGGTGTAGTGGTTAAAAGCAGTGGATTTGTAATCTGGTGAACAGGGTTCGCTTCCCCGCTCCTCCACATGCAGCTGCTGGGTGACCTTGGGCTAGTCACACTTCTCTCTGAAGTCTCTCAGCTTCACTCACCTCACAGAGTGTTTGTTGTGGGGGAGGAAGGGAAAGGAGGTGGTTGGCCACTTTGAGACTCCTTAAGGGGAGTGAAAGGTGGGAAATAATAATAATAATAATAATAATAATAATAATAATAATAATAATGTTATTATCCCTGGGCTCAGGGAGGCTAACACCAATAAAATCACAGTAAAAACATAATAGAGGGGGAAAAACCAATTTAAAATACAGGTTAAAATGTGATTTAAAATGCAGCCTCATTTTAAAAGTAGCCGATAGATCAAGACCATAAGGGGAGGGAAACATAAGGGTCAGACTGAGTCCAAACCAAAGGCCAGGTGGAACAGCTCTGTCTTGCAGGCCCTGCGGAAAGATGTCAAGTCCCGCAGGGCCCTAGTGTCTTGTGACAGAGCATTCCACCAAGTCGGGGCCAGTACTGAAAAGGCCCTGGCCCTAGTTGAAACCAATCTAACCACCTTGCGACCAAGTCCAAAAACCTCCTCCTCCTCCTTCCATCATGGAGTCCCGTTGCACCAGAAGTGGTTTAGTCCTGCTGGCCACATGACCCTGAAAGCTGTCTGTGGACAAACGGCGAGACGAGCGCCGCAACCCCACAGTCACCTTTGACTGGACTTAACCAGGGGTCCTTTACCATTTACTTACTTTTACCCCCACAGGTGTATATAGAGAAGAATGCTGCTAAATGCTGGTTGTGGAAGCCACAGGAGGGGAGAGTTGCTCTGGTTCTCAGGTCCGGCTTCCCACAGGTACCTGTTTGGTCACAGGGAGAACACGATGCTGGACTAGGTGGGCAATTGGCCGGATCCAGCAGGTTGCATTTTAAGGTCCTATGTTCTTATGGTTAGGACACTCTGCTCTGAAGCAAGATCTCAAGATCAGAAGATGGTTGTTGGCTTCTGCCCTCTGAATGTGTGAACACTCTTGTCCTGTTTCACAGCAGTAATAATAATAATAAATTTTTTTATTTATACCCCGCCCTCCCCGGCCAGAGCCGGGCTCAGGGTGGCTAACACCAGTAAAATCATAATAGGAAAAAACCCCAATTTAAAATACGGGTTAAAATGCAATTTAAAATGCAGCCTCATTTTAAAAGTAGCTCATAGATCAAAACCATAAGGGGAGGGAAAACATAAGGGTCAGACTGAATCCAAACCAAAGGCCAGGCGGAACAGCTCTGTCTTGCAGGCCCTGCAGAAAGATGTCAAGTCCCGCAGGGCCTTGGTCTCTTGTGACAGAGCGTTCCAGCAAGTCGGGGCCAGTACTGAAAAGGCCCTGGTCCTAGATGAGACCAATTTAACCACCTTGCGACTTGGGACCTCCAAAATGGTGTCATTTGTAAACCTTAAGGTCCTCTGCGGGGCATACCAGGAGAGGTGGTCCCGTAGGTACATAGCTGTGACCACCCAATCACAAGAATGGGGGGCTGAGTGAGTGCATTCTCTCTCTCTCTCTCTCTCTCTCTCTCTCTCTCTCTCACACACACACACACACACACTGAGTCCCCAAACCAAAACAGCCTGTTTTCCCTTTTAAAAAAATCAAATCAAACAATCCCCATCTCCCTTTGAAGGGGCCAATAAAACAAAACAAAAAACCAAAAGAACCACACACAACCCAGTACATTTTTTTCTCCTTTTTTTCTATTAACTGGCAATTGAACCAAAAAAGAGAAGAAAAACCTTTCGCTTTCCCCACTTTAGCCGCAGTAAATAGAGACTGACAGTTTATTTCCGACCTCCTGGTTTCAGAGTGCGGGGACAGGCGCACGCAAACACACACACAGAACGCCGAGCGTAAACAAGCCCCCAACGTTTGAAATAAATACTTATGGGCCCAATGACAGACACGGCAGAACACAGCCAGCTCTCCGTAGCAATCTTTCTGAGCTGTCACACTCTCTGATCGGTCTTTTTCCCTTTTTTTTAAACACAAACACAGCTGATTTCTTATCAAATGTAAAAAACCTAGGCGGCACTTTCTTAAATGGTTACCGCGAGCATGAAATTGACATTGTGAATCATATATGACACTGCCTTGTCTACTTTGTAATTGATCTGTGCTTAGGAAAAGCAGACAGGGCTTGTACATCTTCAGTTCCAATCACCTGCCTCCTCTTCTCTCTCTCTCTCTCTCTCTCTCCTTCCTTCCCTGTAGCGCATACCAAATTTCCAAAGAATTTACTCAGGACCTCAAGTGACAGCAAATTGTTATAAACTGTAAGGGCAATGTTTTTTTAATATTCTTTTTGGTTCTTTTTTTTTTAAAAAAAGGAAGATTAAAAGGGTTTCATTTGTTTGAAGAAAAGGTTTTTAAAAGACTCTAATCCTCCGAGGTGTCACTTTTAATGTTGATGAATTCATTATTATGCATTTCAGACGGTTGTAATTGGTTAATCCAGAAATTTTCTCCCTTAGGGAAGAAAGCGGGGGGGGGGTGGGGGGGTGGAGAGAGAGTTGGAATTAAGAAAGGAAAAGGATGGGATGCAAGGCAAATCAAAGAGGTTCCCCCCCTCTTTTTCTGTCTTTTTTGCTGCTGCTGATGGCACCTGTGCCACCCTGAGCTTGGCAGTCCAATAAAACAAAAGGAAAGGGAGATTGGCATCTTAACAGGATCCCATTTGGTTCGGTTAACTGAGTGCCATTTGGAAACCAAAGTTGTCCATCATGGAATGAAAGAAGGACCCTGCAGACAGGGGGAAGGAACCTCCCTGGGAAATCAGGAACCATTCATTTGTTTCCCCATCATATGAGAATGAGTCTGTCCATCTGATTATTCATCGGAGGGGGGTGGCAACCATTTAAGCCATGGGTAGGCAAACTAAGGCCCGAGGGGCTGGATCCGGCCCAATCGCCTTCTCAATCCGGCCCGCAGATGGTCCGGGAATCAGCGTGTTTTTACATGAGTAGAATG